TCCATAAGGTTGCAACCTTAAACAATCCAATTAAGGCGCACATCCAAATTTTATCATAACATGTACTTTTGTTGTAAAAAATTCTTAGGATTATCTTAAAATCTATTTTCATATCTAATTAGAAAATTAAATTTAAAAAATGGTTAAAATCAAGTAGATCTATAAATATATGAAAATTTTGAAAATGGATGGTCTAGATAATGTGTTGCAAGATGCACTATTTCTTATATTCAAAAACTTCTTTTTGTCGAGGTGATCAATTAGAGGGTTTTTCAAAATTAAAAGAACATTTCCGATAGATATTTGAGGTGCATATGTGATTCTACATTTTAAAGTTGCAACCTTATATAAATTTTTCGTATATTTAAATATTATTAAAATAATATATATTAAAAATTAAATATTATTTATATAATAACACTATTCAGGTCGGGACTATATGGATCTGAATAGTGTTTGGGTTTAAATATTGGACCTAGACCCGAATTGCAGGGTCCAATTCCAATTCTTTGGCCCATACACGGGTCCGAACGATAGGTCCTGAGTCCAGTCCGGGTCCATTACCACCCCAAGATGGGCCGTCGTGGTTCTGCTCTCTTTACAATTCCGTCCTTTGTGGTTTGGTAGGCTATATTGGCCTGTTGGGTCCATCCTTGGGTGCCCGTATTATTGAGGGGATGTGTCAAATATGCAAAGCTAACGGTGATCTTACCGATCAATTTGATACAAAATGCATCCAAACAATACGAGTACGTGAAAATATTTTCGTTAAAAGTATTTTCACACGAAAGTAGATCAATCCCACTTTTTCACGCCAATTGGTCTAATGCGAAAATATTTTCGAGTCAAAGTTATCTTAATTTTGATGATACTTATGGAGGATATGGTATTTGAATTCTAATATGTCAATTTCAGCATCGGGTGTCTATCGGAACTAGGCTAAAATGGGTCATGGCTAAGGAAGGGCATATAATACATTTTCAGATCAAGATTTTAATATTCGGACCCTAAAATTTCACTCAACCAAAAATGAGGTTCCTGCCCATTAGGGCTGGTAATTCACCTGGACCCGACTCGATCCGCTTCCGGGTATGGGTCCAAATTTTGAACCGGAATAGTAAATCGACCAGGTGGACCCACCACGTACCCGACTTTGTTATTTTAAAATATTATATAACATTTTTTATATGTAAATTTACAAAGGTTAATACAATAATATATACATATTATTTTATCTTCTTCTTATAGCCTTACCCACCCCTTCTATATATAATATATATTAAGGTTATAAATAAAATATAAATGTTATATATTAATATAAATTTTATATATGTTTTTCTTTTCTTTTTCTTTTTTTGCAGGTCTTCTTATTAGTCTTAAAATGAGAAATTGATGATTGAATTATTGCCCAAATCTTCTTATTAGCAATATACATGTTTTTTATATTTTTAAATTTTTAACTAATTTTTTATTTTTTCAATGTATAATCTGCCAGGTCCAAGTTCAGACATGTATTCTCCAAATAAATATCAGGTTTGGGTTTGGGTCTAGAGAATTTATGGTTAGAATTTATTGGTTAAAGGTGAGTCTTCAAAGGGATTAATTCCACCCTTATTGCTCTTATCCCCAAAAAGTTAGTGATTGTTGAATTGTTTGACATCAAACCTATTAGTCTACTGTCTAGCTTTTACAAGATAGTAGCTAAAGTTCTAGCTGAGAGATTGAAGATTGTTCTCCATAATCTTATCTCTCCAAAGCAATCTGCCTTTATCTAGAATCGCCAGATCACTGATAGCATTTTGGTGGTACAAGAGTGTATCTATTCTAGATTGAAGAGCCACCTTCCTGGTGTCATTTTAAAACTAGATTTGGAAAAAGCCTATGACCGAGTGGAATGGGGAGTGTTATTGGAGATTCGTAAAAATATGGGCTTTGAAAAAAAATAGAGGAGCTGGATTTATGGTTGCCTGTCCTCTGCCCACTTTTCGATTCTGGTCAGAGGTAGCCCTTCTGGCTTTTTCAAGGCTACTAGGGGGCTCCACCAAGGAAACCCACTCTCCCCTTTCCTTTTCTCAATATATGCAGAATGTTTTAGCCTCATGCTCTAGAGGGTGGAAGTGTGCGAAAGGCTCTTTGGCTTTTTAGTTTCAGAGCATAGCCCTAGAATATCCCATTTGCAATACACAGACGACACTCTTATTTTTTATGAAGCTTCCGAGGTTCAAATTTCTAATATTGGGTGTTTCCTAGATTGTTGTGAAGCTACACTGAGCCTTAAGGTTAACTACCATAAGACTGCACTGATTGACATTAATTGTCACCCTGATTTGAGCCTTTCCTTGGCTCAACGTTTGGGTTGTACAGTTGGGTCATTTCCGTTTACTTAATTGGGCATGCCTATTTTTTATTCTCGGCCTTCTGTTTCGGTATGGGATAAAGTGGTGGAAAGGGAACAAGTCAAGTTGGATTTATGCAAGTCGAAATTTTTATCGTTGGGAGGGAGGATTACTCTGTTGAAGTTCTGTTTAGCGAACCTGCCAATATACCTTATGTCGCTTATGCACATGCTAGCCTCGGTTATTAAGAAAATTGAAAAGTCAATGTGCAATTTCTTGTCGGGGTCGTTTAGTGAAGGGCGGAAATTTCATCTGCTTAGATGGGACCATTGCACCCCTAGGAGTGAAGGGAGTCTGGGCATTCGTAAGTTAAAATTTACGAATGACGCTCTGCTCTGTAAACAGTGGTGGCACAGCTTTCAGTGATCCAACCAATTGTGGGTCGAGGTTATCTTTGAAGTATGGCAGAGATAAGCAGGGGATGTCGTTAGGTGGTGGACGCATTAATGAAGCGTCCTTTTTATGGAAGCCCATTTTCAGATGTAGACTGATGATTGCTAGTTGTTTTCGTTGGCTTGTTGGTAGTGGTACTTCGATTGCTTTTTGGCATCACAAGTGGTTGGGCGACGTTCCCTTGAAAATTAGTTTTCCTGACCTCTTTGCCAAGGTTCTTCATCCTGATGACTTGATTTCTGAAGTATTGGAGGTAAGAGGATCTCGGGTGTTTTGGCATATCTCTTTCCCGTATGATAGGCTTAATGGAGTTATTTATCGAAGATGGTTAGAATTGTTGAAGTGGTTGGAGTCTGTCTATATATCCTAGAGCTCTCAGGATGAGCTCATCTGGGAATTTGAGAACGATGGTATATTTTCGATCAAGTCTTGTTATAGACTATTCTTTCATGACAGTTGGAGATGGTCTCTTCCCCAAGTGTCTAAAGTATGGAAATGGCTTATTCCCCATAAAGTGCAAGCCTTCCTTTGGTCAGCCGCACTCAACAAAATATTAATAGTAGATAATTTGATTAAGCAAAGGAAAGTGTTACCAAATTGTATGCCTCATGTGCAAATTTAATAAGGAATCTAGTAACCATCTGTTCATTCACTGTAGAGTGGCATCTAATTTTTGGTACTTGTTCCTTAGACTCCTTGGGGTTAGTGCTCCTCTTCCGTCTTCAATGGTTAACATTGTAGCTCGTTTGCATTCAACCATCTTCCTTCTTATGGAGTTCTGGTTTGGCAAATTGCCAGAGGTGCAGTGGCGTGGGAGATCTGGAAGGAAAGGAATAGGCGTACCTTTGATGGTATCAGCCTATCAGAGGATCGTTTATTTGATAATGTCAAATGTACAATCTGGCAGTGGTTCTCATCACTAAGGAGGGTTGGGGTGTATCCCAAGCAGATGTTATGCTCAATTTGCAAAACTTATTCCTACTGGGGAAAGTGAAGATGAGACCCAAATGCTTCTGGTCTCCTCCGGAACTTGATCGATTCAGGCTGAACTTCAACGGAAGCTCATTAGGCAACCCTGGGTTAGCTGGTATTGGCGGAGTTTTACGCAATGAGCAGGGAGTAATCGTTTTCTCCTTTGCGGGTCCATTAGGCTATACCACAACTAACCAGGTGGAAACTTGCCTCCTTGCTGCTAGGGATAAAGTTGTTTATCTCTAGCAACATTGGCAATAGATGCATCTTTGAAGGGGATTCTTTAAATGCTATTGGTTGGTGCAACAACGAGTTACGCACCTGGTGGAAATTGCGGTCAATTTGGTTAGAAATTTTGGACCTCTCTGCCCCTTTGTCTGTTTCTTTCTCTCATGTTTTTCGAGAAGCAAATGCTTTTGCGGATTCCCTCGCTAAAGGTGGGGCGTCTTTGTCTTCCCTTATAGCCTCTAACGATGTAATCTCTTTTATTTAGTATGATCTAATAAAATTTGGAATGTTTGCTAAAAAAAAATATTTTGAACTTCGTAATCTACCAAAACCACCCAATTGGATATCTAATAGTTAAGAGCAGTGTTTAAAAAAACGTCGAGTCAAACCGGACTCACCCGGTTCGACTCGGGAATCGCCATGGACGGATCGAATCGGCGAAAAAAACGAGAATCGTCCGGTTCTAGAGAGAATCGACGATTCTGTACAGTGACTCGCCAATTCACTGTACGGAATCGGCGAGTCCGAACAGTGAATCGGCGAGTCCCGTACGGTATTTTTTTTTTTTTT